AGTGCCACCCCTGTACAAATCTGAGCCACTGAGTTCAAGAACACAGCTACCCCATGGCCACCTGTCCCTCTGGGGACAGTGAGTTGTGCACCTATACAGTGGAAACCAAGGCGACCCTGGGACCCCAGCCTGTCCTTGTCACCTGGGGTCCCCCGCCTGGCCTTCAGGGGAGAATTTTTCTTGTGGGCGCTGGGACATCTGCCAGCAGGCTTTAAATAAAGCAAAGACAGAACCACGGCAGCTGGCGTGGCAGCAGGCAGGACCATGCCCGGTGTCCCCAAACCATCACACTGGCATCCATGTCCCTGCAGCCTTCATGGAGCAGCTAGAGGAAGCGGGACACGTCCCCTCCCTGCAGGCGCCCAGTGGTCCCAGCCAGCCAGCCAGCATCGTGTGGCCAGTCCAGGGAGGAGCCACCAGAGGCACCTGCAGGAAGGGAGGGGCTGGCGGGAGCAGGACGGCTCCGTGTCCTCCATGACCGCACAGCAGCCTGCACCTCACCCTAAGATGTGTGCATCCCCTTTCTGTTGAGATGATGGCCTTTGTGTGTACCCCGGTCTCCTGTGTCCCCAGCCCCTTCACCCTCATACCTGACTCCACAGCGGTCACCCAGGGCAAGTATGCCTGCCTGGCTGGACAATGCACAGGGGTTGGGAAGGCCTGGTGGGAAGCACAGCTGAGGGCCAGAGAGGGCAGGAGCTCTGAGCTGGGGACCTGTGCCTGGCATGCTGTGTCTGCGACGAGCCTCATGCTCACACACACACACACACAGCTGCTGTCCATCACACAAAGGCCCCGAATGCTGCAGCTGCCCCCCCCCCCACGAGGTGGGAAGCCAGCGTGTTGCACTCGGCCACCCACTGAGCCCTCAAAGCTCCTCTCCCCTGTGTGTTAGGCTGTGCCCAGAGCTCAGCCTGCTCCTCTCCCCCTCACTCTTCTGAGTGGCCACCTATGCCAGGCTGACCCCCTGCCCTGCCTTGCCCTTGAGGAGAGTCTAGAGAGTGCCATGAAGCCCAGAGGAGGGGGTGCTTCGGGGTGCGGCACTGCTTGGGCTGGATCCTGAAGGGCCAGTGCTCCACCTCTCGTGGGAAGGAGCGTGGCCTGGGCGGAGAGCAGGCTCGGGAGTGCGCCTGCGCTGGCACGTGACTCCGTGCTGGGTCAGGGAGGCAGGGCAGACACAAGACCCCCAGGCTCTGCAGAACCCTCACAGGGCAGGAGAACCAGACTGGGTCTGGCTGGTCGGTGCTCAGTCCATCACCTGAAGGGCTGTCCTCACCCTGAGCCTACAGAATAACACAGATCAGAACACATGGCATTGGTAGGGCACAGGCAAGGCCATGGTGAGCTCGGCCATGTGGGAGTGACCAGCCTACGGCATATGGGACCCGTTATGTCACTTGGGGTGAGCCTGCTAAGCCACACACTCGACTTCAGTGAGCCCCCAGCAGGTGGTACTGTAGGGGACCTGCCTGGTCACAAAGCCAGCTGGCCTTGGTAGGGGAGGCTCAGTCTGCTGATGAACCTCACAGAGGCCGCTGTTCTCAGAGTGGGTGGGTGGGCACGCACCAGGGACTGCAGCCAGCATACCCAGGGCCCAGGCTGGGCAACAAGGCCTCGCTGGGCTAGTGAGAAGGCAACAGGACCAGCTCCATGGGGCAAGGAGGGCAGGGCCAGCTCCTGCTGCCCCTCCTGTCACCTCCTCAGGGACCACGGGGATTATAAACTGGAACCCACCAGGCCCAGCAGAGGGATGAGTTGGAAGAGTTTTTCTCCTCAATCCAGAGTATTCTAGAACCTTCCTCTGGCACAGAGGGCAGTTCTGGCTGCAGCATTCCCCAGCACCCCAGCCTGCGTATGGGAAGGACAGCCGTCTGTGGCTAGGCATGTCTGTGCACTCGCCAGCTGCTGCCATTGCCTGCTCCAGCACAACCACAGCCCACCTGGGACAGGCTGGGGCTCCTTGGGCGCGGGGGGCAGCAGCTGCCGGGACGGGTGCAAGGATTCCAGGCTCTCCATGTTTGCTCCCTGGGCTGTCTGGGGTCTGAGAACGTCGGGGAGGTGCCCAAAGTATGTCTCAGTGACCAGCACAGAGAGCCTCAGCGCTCAGGTTCCACAGCCAGCACACTGGGGCAGGCTGCAGGGAGCCGACACGGAGGCCCCACAGTCAGGAGAGGCTGCGTCACACAGTGGGAGAGCCAGAGGGCTTGGGTGGCAGGGAGCCAGCCAAGGTGGCAGCATCCAGGACACATGGGGCAGCTGGGCACTTTGCAGAACCTGATGCCCTAAACCCCTGTGACCCCCGTCGCCGTCCATGACCCCCCTCACTGTCCATTGCGCCTGCCTCAGCCCCTTCAGGCCTCGCCCCAAGCTCAGCCCTCACCTGCAGAGCCTGCCCTGGCCATACCCTTCCTGGCTCCAACATTTTGCCATCCTGCCCCTGTGTGCTGGCTCACGCATCATTGTGGACCCCACCTCCAAGTCACACCCACGTGAGAGAGAGGTGGGCGTGGACGCCTGCTGGCCACAGGTTTCCCAGCAGCCTCAAGCCGCGACCTCGGGGAGCCACATCCCCACCCAGAACACAAGTGCAGGAAACTGTCTCTTTTTGCTCTGTCTCTTCTGGAGTTTCCTAATAGATACATTCATTACTAGACCCCCAGGCAGGCTGGGGGACAAGTGGTTCACCCATGGTCATACATGCGTGCAAATGTGTTCAGAAATACGTGTTCAGACTATGGTCCCCTACCCAAGTGGTGAAGTCACCCAGCTAATGCTTACACCCATCCCCAAGGTGGCCTGAGTGGGATGAGGCATCCCTGCACTAAAACCCTGGGTTCCAACCGTCCGGCCTGACTCTGAGGTCTGTTGGCCTGGTAGCTGTCCCAGCTCTGGACACCAGGTGGCGGCCATGCACCCTGTGTCCACCAGAGGGCACCCGGCCCAGCACTGCTCAGCTAGACTCGGCTCTGTGCACCAAATGCTTTTTAATTGAAAATTTTTTAATTCAAAAAGGATTTGCTGTTTGTCCTCAAGTGCAGGTTTTCCTTATGCAGGAGACTAATGTCTTGAGTAAACAGATCCGGGCCCAAATCCACCTTCAAAGGTACTCACTGTTTGCCCGAGGGAGGGCAGGGCCTTCCAGAAGCGGCCCGTCTCCTGGGCAAACACTGGCGGACGTGCTGTGCCGGGCCGGGCCGGGCCGGGCCAGCAGTGGGAGGCCAGCCACAGCCTAAGGAGGATTATGTCGGAGGACATATGCCAAAATTGCATCTGGGGAGTTGCGGGGGACAAGGGGGGCTGCTCTGCTGTAGCCAAGAGAGGAGGGAGGGACAGGGCTGGCAGGGTGCTGCCCGCCCAGCTGGGGCCCTCGTGCTGTGGGCATCCGGGGGCTGCGGCCTACCCAGGGACAGATGCTGCCCTGCTGGGGCCTGGCCCCAAGGTTTCGGCTTCCCCCACTGCCCCTGTGGGCACCGCCAGCCCCTCAGCCTGACACTCCCTGGCTCTGCCCGGTGTCGGAGACCAGGACTTGGAATCTCCACAGCCACAGGCTCGGGTCCCCTGGGAGTTGTCAGAGGTGACCCGCTGCCGGCTGACCCCTGGGCACCCTGGAAAAGACCCACAACTCCCCTGTCCACACTAGCACCTCACCCTCTTGTATTCAGACCCGCCACCCTACCCCACCACACTCCGTGTTTCCAATTCCCTGCCTCTAACCTGGATCGCTCGCTCCTCCGCCTCTCGCGGTCTCTGCACCTGCTGTGACTCCTGCAAAGCCCATCTAGACTGACCACCTCAGGTCCTCCCTGTCATCCCCGTGGAAGGGCTGCCCCAGGCCTCCACTGTCAGCCCCACTGAGCCCTCTGGCCCCTCTGCCCCCGCCCCTCCCATGGCTCGGCGTCCATCAGGAATGGTGTTCTCGCAGCACTGCTGGGTGAGCCTCTGCAGCTCCTCCCTTGCCCACCACCTGCTGTGCACTTCCTGAATGGCCACCAGGTGGCAGTATCATCCCAGCCATTGCCTGAGGACAGACATCCTGCCCTTGTCCATGGAACGTGCTGGGAACAGGGTTGCTCTGGGGGGTTCTCTGGGCCTGGGCCCCGACAGCTGCCAGGCTGCATCTTCACAGAGGCCCTGGCGGTCAGATATATCACCCTGTGGAGAGGAGGGGAGTCTGGCCTGTGGCCACCCCACAGCTCTCAGTCTCCTAGGAGCCCCGTGGCCCTGACCCTGCTCCAGGTGCTGCCAGCTCAGGGGCTCACGAGGGTGCCATGTGTGAGAAAGCCATCTTGGGAAGGCGGGCTGCCCCCTCCATCCTGCACCCCTCCACAGTTCTGCTCCCAGGGGCAAGCCCCTCGCCCTCCACACCTGCGCGGGGCCTCTGGCAGGGGCGGGCTGGGAAGGCTCCAGGCCTGTGCTCTCCCAGCTTCACATGAGCTGTGGTGTCCACATCCCAAGCCTGGCCTTTCATCAGAATCTGCCTGTTCTGTCGCACATCTGCAGCTTGGGGTCAGCACAGTGAACTTGGACTCCTGGCCCCAGCAGTGGTGTGGCCGCATAGTGACACACACACAGCACTCCCCCCGCAGGAGCTCATGGCAAGGGGAGGGGGACAAGTGGGGGCTGCCCAGAGCGGTCGAGGAGACCCCTTCCCCGGGTCTCAATCTCCCCCACATTGTCAGGGACTGGAGACTGAGGGCAGCATCCAGGCAGCTTTGGGGTCACAAGCCTGCCCGTGTTGCCATTCCGCGTGAGGCCAGGGAGTGGCCTGCAGGGTGGGTGGGCACACAGGAGTGGCTTCTGGGCCTCGGCCCTGAGACCTCACCTCGCCGGGGCAGATGGACCATGCCAGGTGTCCCCAGCTGAGCCCGGCTCGCCCCACTGCTTCATCCACACACACCAGCGGCCCCCGGCCCGGCCGCTCCTGGGCCTGGAGGCTCAGCAGGGCCTCTGGCCGGTGGTCCCTGGTGCCCATGGCCTCACTGTGCCCCTCTCCCCCACAGTACGAGTACAGCTTCCGCACGGAGCAGAGTGCCGCAGCCAGGCTCCCGCCCAGCCCCACCCGGTGCCAGCAGGTGCCGCAGTCCTGAGCCGCACCGGGAGAAGACGCGCCTCCAGAGACACTACTGACCCCGTCCCTCCTTCCCTGCCTGGGGGGCCGGAGACCCTGGGCAGTCACGAGGTCACCTCGTGGCCTCAGCTTGCCTGCTGTGACACCTGGCCTCCCGGGGCCTCACCCACAACCGCAACTAACCTGTGTGCTGTAGCGACCGGCGCTGCTGACCGTACGGGCGACCACCAGCTCCTCGAAGAAGCCTTTCCCGCTCGGGCACACAACAGCCCCGGGCAGGTGCTCAGGCCGCCCAGCGATGCCAGCCAGCCGGCTCCTCCTCCCCCTGACTGTCCAGGGGCCCCAGCCCCAAGGCTGCTATACAAGCCCCTCCTGCCAGGTCAGGTGCCTCGGCGTTTCCGCCTGGACCTCCATGGGTGTGTCCTATACGGCATGCCTAGATTCCCAGGGGGAGGGGGCAGGAGAGGCTGAGGCCTGGGACCTGCTCATCTAAGGGCTTGTATGGGGGGTCGCCCATGTGCCAAGAGCAGCCCTCACTGCCCACCCGGTGCCCCACGGGACCACACCCCAGGGGACACAGGCACCTGACCTTCATTCCGCCCGGAGCCAGGCTGTGTGCCCTGAAGATCCAGACCACCGGTTCCTCTCGGCTCGTCAGAGGTGCCAAGCTCAGTCACACATACCCATTCGCCACGAGGGGCGAGGGCTGAGGGCCTCGCCCGTGGGCTCCCTGCAGGCAGCTGGCACTCAAGGGTTCCCAGGGGGCTTGGTGTCCATAGTGGGGGCAATCCAGCGCATGTCACCTCTGGAGACCGCCATGGGTGACCGAGGCATCCGCGGGACAGGAGGAAGAACTGGCCCAGAAAAATACCTCGCCCACTGTGCCAGCTGCTTAGCCCACCACGCCTGCCCCGACCTCTCGTGGGCCCTCCCCACCTGTCATGAAGTGGCTGCCCCTCCTGGGAGTGGGGGCCAGGTCCAAGCCCAGAGCCTGTGGGGTGCAGGGCCCGCGGAGGAGGTGCCCACTTCACTGCTGTCCGCGCCTCTGTCCTCGGGCCCATTTCAGCCGGCTGTGAGGCTGCCTTGGGCACGCCAGGCCTGGGGGGTCTCTCCTGTGTGACTGAGGACCCCGGAGGCTCAGAGGTGACTGTGTGGGACCCCTTGTCCAAGAGCGAGAAGGGGGTGACAGCCGCAGAAGGACTGGGCCCCTGTGGCGTGTAGCTTAGTGTGGACCGTGGCCAGGCTTCTGAGCGGCAGCCGTGCCTGGCCTAGTCCGTGTCTGTGCTAGCTCTTAGACTGCTCCTGACGCCTCCATCTTCTGCGAGGTGGGCAAGGCAGAGCACATGTGTGTGTGACTGTATAGACGTGTGTGTGTGTGTGTGTGTGTGTGTGTGTACCCGTGTGGGGCTCCTCCGCCAGCAGGGCTCCGGGTATAGCGCTGCTTTCCACGGAGGCTCTGGGCGGCCTTGGTGGGAAGGGAAGGACCAGGCTCCGCCTAGGAACATGTAAGGACCGTGGCCTCATGCCCTCGGCTCTGTGGTTGGGGCTTGTTCCCCCACCCCGAGTTCAAGAAACAACCCTTGCCACACCTTGCCTGCCACTTGGAGAGATAGGAATCCCGGTCCTCAGACCACAGAGCTGTCCGGCCCTGCTGGTGGGCAGAGGTGCAAGCATGGTCAGCGGCCAGGGCAACTCAGTGGGTGGAGGCGACCACACTGAGCTGCGATGCTGGCTCGTGACCCTGGCCGCGGTTAGGCCAGGCATGAAAAGCACAGTCCTGCCATGCCCCTCAACAATTCCCAGTCGGGGCAACCCTCGCTCCCGGGGCCAGCTAGGGAAGTCAGGCCAGCGGGCAGCCCAGACAGGACCTGCCCCAGAGCCCAGGGCGCCAGCTGCCCCATCACAAGCACACATCGTTTTGTTTCTGGTCCTGTCCCAAACTTTCCGGGGGTCCCCTGCCCCACCCCGACCTAGCGGCGGCCACCCCAGCCTACAGCTGCCCAAGGCGAAGGCAAGGTGCTCGATGAAGCCACAGCCGTGTGCCACCTGCCCAAGCCTAGGCCTGGGGCAGCCGCAGCCATCCCCAACACTGGGTGGGGGGTGCACAGGCTGCTGGGCTGGGGCCTTGGCATATTTATTCAAGGTGAGGGAATTCCCCACGGGACCGTCTGTGTTCTTCATATAATTTGCTAAGTAAACGTTTGTTTGACCCTCTTCTTTCCGTTGGCTGTTGTGTCTGAGGCCACCAGGGGTCAGCGTTCCCCAGAGGAAGTCCAGCAAGGATGTCCAACCTTCAACCAGGAGCCAGCAGGCTTTGCTTCAGTTCCTGTGCAGTGGGCGGGGTGGGGAGCCACCTCCCCTGGGGGGTGCACCTGGGACAGTGCCGGCTGCTACAGGGCCCCTTTCATCTCACCCGACCAAGCCGGGTGGACGCAGCCATGGCTCCTGTGCCTTTGAGGCCTGTCCCGGCAGCTCACCCGCTTACAAGACGCCACTGCCCTGGCAGCCCCTGGAGCCGCAGGGCCCAGACGGGTTCCGTGGAAGCCATCAGGTCAGGTTTCACTGTCAAAGCTCCTGGCCTCACTGTCCATGACCCCTGTAGCTCGGGGCAGATAGCAGCAACTGGTTGTCACTGCCTGCAGCTCTCCAAGATGGGCAGGGCAGAGCCAGGAACACAAGGATCCCGACTGTGGCAGCCCTTCCAGCCCTATTCTGGAAACTTCCACATCCTTTCCCATGGCAGCAGCCCAGAGGGGGCCTTCAGAACCCCGTGGCAAAGCCAAGTGTGCTTGGCCAAGAGCTGGGCTTAGCTGCCGACCCTGGCACCTGCAGGGGTCAGGGCTCCTAGCATGCCTCCCTTCACTCAGCCAGTATTCGAGTTCCCTTCCCTGGGATGGGTCTGTGGTGCACACATGGGCACCAGAGCTCAGCAGGGCCCTCCCATAGACACCCAGGAAGGGTGAGGGTGGCCGTGCTCACAGAGCGCCAGCACGAGGGAGAGCAAGAATCCAGACCTGGGGCCTCCAGCCACACTACAGGCTGCAGAGGGAGACAGATGGCACCTCCCACACAGGCTGAGGGCCTCAAGGTGCCAATATCCACCGTGCCAGCCTAGGTCAGGTCACCCCATATCCCTACCCTCTTCCGTCCTCATCCGGGTCACATCGCCTAAGAGGCTGCAGGGCTCAGGCACAGCACCATCCATGGCCACTGCCTCTCCAGGTACTGATTCTCAAACACCCCAAACCCTGGGGCCCACTCCACTTCCAGGTCCCATGCCACAGGCCAGCCTGAGGCTCCCGAGCCCTGGCCACCTGGCAAGGGGGTCTGCTCTCAGACCTGGGCACCCCCAGAACAAACGCGCCTCCTTTTCTCAGTCCTGGCTTTGTGCTCCTGAAATGACACCATCTCCTCCCGGGAGCCCTGGGTGATTGCACCAAAGGCCACACAGTCCCTTCTTGGCCACCATGCTCTGTGCTGTACCCACTTCCACTGGGACCCTCGCGGCCTCACTCGTGGATGACTGACTCAGCCCTCCGCCATCTCTCTCCTGTGTCTGCCTGCCTCCCATCACCTGGAAAACAGGGCTGCCCTAACTGTCTCCATGCCCGCCACCCCAAGAACAAAGCCTGAACCTCTAGGTGCCAGAGCTGCAGTGTTGCTCCTGGTTCCCCAATCCCTTCGTTCCCAGAGAAGCCTGGACTTGAATTCAGCTTCCCCAAAGTGGCGACCCAACTCCTCCAGTGCCACTTCCTGCTAATGCACTTTCTGGAGACTGCTCAAGTGCCAGCCCGTCTCTTCCCTGTCCCGCAAAATGTCCTAGGACCAAATTGTCACCTGCTGAGTCTACTCTGATTCATGCCTTTCTGATGCCAGTCCCTGGAGGGAAGGGGGAGAGGAGGCAGCCGCTGTGTCCCCCCCCCCACATGTTGGCCCTTCAATAGGTGTGACCGTCACCTTCCTGCAAAGATGGGCTGCTGTACCAGAGCCAGCCCGGCTTCTCCCAGCTCTCCTGTCTCCTCTCCCCAAACTTGTTTTCTGCAAGAGGGTCCTCAACAACAGCTCACGCAGGCACTGGACCCTGGGGGACCCGGAAGTGTGAAGGACGCTAACCTCTTTTGCTCAGCCAGTTTGTGACAGCAATGCAGAATGAACGACACTTGTGGTAAGATAGGAGGCGTGTCCCAAGCAGACCCCAGTGGCCTCAGGCCCAGTGCAGGGTGCCATGGCAGACCCCTCAGCCGGGGTCTCTTTGCTCTTCAAGACAGCAACAAGTCAAAGATGCTACTACCAACCACCATGGCCTCAGCACCCCTCGGGGGCCCTAGCCGGTGCCGTAAGATGTAACAGAGCAATGCAGGTCAGGCCTGCACAGGCAGTGCCACCTCTCCTGGGAGCCTGCACAGCCCCTGCATACGGAACCCCCAGCAGAATGGACACAGGGACAGAGCCCAGCTGGCAGGGCCCTCAGCCACAGAAACCCCCGGACAAGGACATCGCCTGTCTGTGACCAGCTACCAACAAGGAGATAAAGACGAGCCCCTTTCCTGTGGCCAGGAAGCATCTAGGAACTGAGCCGGCAGAGCAGGGCTGGGGCTCAATGGGGAAGGTTGCCGGGCTCTCAACAGAAGACCAGGGATACAAAGTGTCCTTGAAGGTGTTGGGGTTTGTTTCTAAAGATTTGGTTTTTGTTTGTTTGTGTGAGAGGCAGATTTAGAGAGAGAAGGGAAGAGAGATCTTCCAACTGCTGGTTCACTCCCTAGATGGTTACAACAGCGAGACCTGTGCTGATCCAAAGCCAGGAGCCAGGAGTTCTGGGTCTCCCATGTGTGTGCAGGGTCCCAAAGCTTTGAGCCATCCCCACTGCTTTCCCAGACCATAAGCAGAGAACTGGATGGGAAGTGGAGCAACCAGGACTCGAACTGGTACCTACATTGGCAGAAGATAATCTGCTAAACCACTGCACCAGCCTTAATATTGGATTTTGATGGCCACAGGAGCTGGCCATACTAAGCCCTTCCCACAAGACTGTCACGGGCCCCCTCAGAGTGAGAACCTCCATTCCTGGTGCCCAGCCCTGTGAACCGGGCAGCCTTTGGCACAAAATACACCCTTGGTGACGGATGAGTTCCCAAATGGAAATCTGAGTATAACCCTGCGTGTACACACACACACACACACACACACACACACACACACACACACAGAGTCAGTGAGGCAGTGGGACTCACTTCTTTCCAAAGTGTTACAGCATTGGTAGGTGGCTACAATACCACCACGGTTCCAGAGGCCAACACGAAAATGCTGGTGAAGGCAAGGTCATGGGACATCG